GGAGAATCAGGCAGCAGTAGTAATGGCTTTTGTTAATTAGGCAGCTCCAGATATTAAAAGGAAACTACAAAAACTAGAGAATTTAGAGGGTAAGAGTGTTCAGGATCTCTTAGCAACAGCACAGAGAGTCCATAATAATAGGTATGCACCTGAGGACAGGCAAGTAAAGGCCACCAGAGAAATGACAAGAGTGTTGGTAGCAGCAGTACAAGGAAGGGAAAGGAGGCAAAGCTCGGGGAACTGGGCCAGAGACCAAGAGCAAGAGCAGTGCTAACCTATCGGCCTGCGACCAACCATGTAAAGACCAATGTGCTTACTGCAAGGAGACAGGTCATTGGGCAAGGGAGTGCCCTAAGAAAAAGGAAGTGGGGCTGGGGCCCCATCCCCCTAGATGCACGCCAGTATTGGTGACTAACACAGAGGAAGATTAGGGGCGTCAAGGTTCGGCTCGCCTCCCCAAATCTAGGGTGACTTTTAAGGTGGAGGGGACTCCAATTGAGTTCCTAGTGGACACTGGAGTTCAACACTCTGTATTGACAGAGCTGCAAGGAAAATTATCTAAAAAGACTTCTTGGGTACAGGGGGCTACAGGGATTAACAAATGTTCATGGACTACCCAAAGAACAGTGGACCTAGGTGTGGGCCAGGATTTCACTGACTGCCCCTACCCCCTGTTGGGAAGAGACTTACTCACCAAAATTGGAGCTCAAGTTCACTTTCAACCTGGAGGCACTACAATCTCTGATGGTCAGGGACAGCCTATTCAGGTACTGACTGTGACCTTCGAGGATGGATATAGACTGTATCAACAACCCATGCCCGGCAATCAGGAAATAGACTGTTGGCTAAAGGAGTACCTGGAGGCCGAGACAGGAAGTATGGGTCTGGCCAAACACCGGCCAGCAGTGTTTGTGGAACTAAAACCTGGAGTGGACCTGGCTAGGGTTCGTCAATACTCAATGTCGGTGGAAGCTCGAGCAGGAATAACCCCCCATTTTCAGCAACTGTTAGATTTGGGGGTCCTACAGTCTTGCCAGTTGGCCTGGAACACCCTGCTTCTGCCTGTTTGAAAGCTTCAGTCCATTGACTACCGGCAGGTCCAAGACCTGAGGGAGGTGAACAAAAGGGTGATGGACATTCACCCCACTGTCCCTAACCCATATACCCTCCTAAGCTCCCTGTCACCTGAAAGGCAGTGATATACAGTAATAGATCTAAAAGATGCCTTCTTTAGTCTGCCCCTGGCCCCGAGGAGTTAACAACTAATCGCCTTCGAGTGGTCGGACAAGGAAAAAGGAATCAATCAATGGACAGCTAACGTGGACCAAACTCCCACATGGCTTCAAGAATTCTCCTATTATCCTCGATAAAGCACTCCATGAGGACCTAGGTGAGTTCTGGGAGAAGCACCCTGAGCTAACTCTCTCACAGTATGTAGATGATTTGTTGATTGCAGCCCAGACCAGAAAAGGGTGCCTAAAAGGGACCGGATACCTGTTGCAGATCAGGGGGACCTAGGTTACTGAGCCTCAGCAAACCAAGAAAGCTCAAAAATCTGCAAGCCTAGGGTATCTGTTAAAAGACAGGCAATGCTGGCTAACACAGGCCAGGAAAGAGACAGTTTTAAAAATCCCTGTACCCCAGACCCCAAGGCATTGAGGGAGTTTCTGGGATCTGCTGGCTTTTGCAGGCTGTGGATACTTGGGTTTGCTGAATTAGCCAGGCCTCTGTGCGAAGGCACAAATGCAACTCAGCCCTTCCAGTGGACTGAGGAGATGGGCAGAGCCTTCAATCAAATTAAGACTGCATTGCTATCTGCACCAGCTCTAGGGCTACCCAATGTCACGAAACCATTCTATCTATACATTGATGAGAGCAAAGGGGTTGCTAAAGGGGTCTTGACCCAGTATCTGGGTCCCTGGAAGAGGCCAGTGGCCTACTTGTCAAAAAGGCTGGACCCTGTGGTGGCCAGCTGGCCACCTTGCTTGAGGATGTTAGCTGCCACTGCCCTAATGATAAAGGACGCCAACAAACTAACCTTAGGACAAAGAGCTATATATCACCACCACCCCCATGCCATCGAAGGAATCCTAAAGCAACCCCCAGACCGGTGGCTAAGCAATGCCCGGCTCACCCATTATCAAGGGCTGTTACTTAACCCTCTCAGAATTACCTTTTAGGCATCCTCAGCTCTCAACCCCACAACCCTACTACCCAACCCCGACTTGGAGGCTCCCTTGCATGACTGTGCACAGATCCTAGCACAGGTCCCCAGCATCAGAGAAGACCTCCAGGACCAGCCATTGCCGGATGCAGAGCTTGGATGCAGATCCCGTTCACGGATGGGAGCAGCTTCATTCAACAAGGTCAGAGGTATGTGGGCACATGGTAGTAACAGAGACTGAAGTGGTATGGGCTGAGCCTCTCCCAACAGGAACATCAGCCCAGAGAGCTGAACTGATAGCCTTGACCCAAGCACTAACGCTAGGAAAAGACAAAAAGCTGACTGTGTACACCGATAGCCGGTATGCTTTTGCCACGGCCCACATACATGGCACCATCTATAAGAAAAGAGAGCTACTGACAGCTGAGGGAAAAACTATAAAAAAAAGAAGAGATATTGGCCCTTATTACAACCCTATGGTTGCCTAAGAAATTGGCCATTGTCCACCGTCCAGGACATCAGAAACCTAAGGACATGGTATCCAGAGGGGACAATCTAGCAGATAAAACCGCTTGGGAAATAGCCATGCAAAGAGAGATTGTGATGATAGCCAACCTGCCTGACCCAGGACCCCAAAGCCTACCAGAAATGCCACAATATTTCAAAGAGGACTTAGAGTGGATTAAAGGATTGCCTATGACTCAGTGCCTTAATGGATGGTGGCGAGACTCCCAATGTCATGTGATAGTATCTGAAAAGTTAGGCAACAGAATTTTGCAAAAAATGCATCTCTCCACCCACATGGGTGAGAGAAAAATGCAGGACCTACTAAGCCATGCTAAGATAAAGATTTAAAATGCAAATTCCAAGACCCAGCAGATTGTTGCTACCTGTAAGGCCTGCCAGCTGAGGAATACGGGCCACAGCACAATCGACCCTGGGAATCGGGTAAGAAAAGACAGAACAGGAGCCTATTGGGAAGTAGACTTCACTGAGGTAAAACCTGGCAAATATGGATATAAGTACCTTTTAGTTTTTATAGATACTTTTTCAGGATGGCAGAAGGATTTCCAACTAAGCGTGAGACAGCTCAAGTAGTAGTTAAAAAGTTGCTGGAAGACATCTTACCCAAGTACAGCTTCCCAGTCTTGGTAGGGTCGGATAATGGACCGGCCTTTATGTCTAAGGTAAGTCAGGGACTCGTGTCTATTCTTGGGGCAGATTGGAAATTGCATTGTGCTTACAGACCCCAAAGTTCAGGACAAGTAGAGAGAATGAATAGAACCCTAAAAGAGACCCTAACCAAATTGACCATGGAGACTGGCGGAGACTGGGTAGCCCTCCTTCCCTATGCCCTGTTAGGAGCCACTCCCTTTGAAATTATGTTTGGCATACCCCCTCCCATAATCCCCTGCTTGTCTGAGCACCTGCTTGTAGAATTTGATGACTCTGACCTCTTACATTCCCTAAAAGCCCAGCAACAAGCCCACCAGGACGAGTGGTCCCATCTCAAAGCTCTGTATGAAACAAGACTCCCTCCTCAGCCACACAGCTTCCGTTCCAGAGACTGGGTCTACATAAAGAGACATCAACAGGAATCACTGCAACCTCCCTGGAAGGGACCATACGGGGTGATCCTCACAACACCCACCGCTCTCAAGGTCAACGGGATTGCCACCTGGATCCACTACTCTCATGCAAAGCCAGCAGACTTGTTCTCTGTGAGGAGCGACTTCATTCCGGATTCGAATTCCAAGTGGCAAGTTACTCGTCATAAGGACAATTTTCTTAATTGTTTAAACCCTAGTTAGGATGCTATTATTAGTCTGGCTGCTTATTCTCGCTTGCATTAGTACCATTCTTTGTAATAACCCCCATTTTCCATATAAGTGGACCTGGGTAATCCAGAATCCAGCAATTGGACATAACATAGTCTTGGCAACTCAGGAAGGACCCCAGATATGGTTCCCGGACTTACAGTTCGATCTTTGCCAGTTGGCTGAGGGGTCGTGGAAACAAACAAAACAAAAAGGCTCTGACACACCCATCCATTATATGAGAAAGAGGTACCTGAGCTCTGATGGCTTAAACGGTCCTCCCTGTAAAATGGATACCTGGTACATATGCCCCGGAGAGTCCCGCCCCCCAGAATGCGGGAGTTCTGCAGAATATTATTGCAAGCAATGGGGATGTGAGACTAGTGTGGCAGGGTCTAGAGCCTGGAAGGTCGCCAAAGATGACTTAGTAAAATACTCCAGACCACATAATCAGAACTCCTGGATACAAGCCAGATTCACCCCAAAGGGAAAAGAGGCACAAGGATGGGAACAAGGAAAATCTTGGGGAATAAGACTTTACTGGATAGGAAGCCGTGATGAAGGACTCATTTTTACTCTCAAGGTTTTAAAGACCCAAATTGTACCCGCTGTGGTGGGACCTAACAAAGCCCTGGCCCCACCACCATCAGCTAACACCCCCATTATGCCTGAAAGTACCCAAGTACCTAAGACTACCCAGAGGATCCCTGAGGAAAGGGACCTAAACTCTCCACCCGAACTGCCCAACCTACTTGTGCCCGGCATTTCAGAGGAGAACGCCTTGGGAGCTCCCTTGTGGAAACTACTGCTAAAAACTTATGATGTTGTAAACAAAACCCAACCCCAGATGACAGAGTCCTGTTGGATGTGTTATGATATGCAACTCCCCTTTTATGAGGGGATAGCTCTCCCAGGAAGTTATACACTGACTAGCAAAGTACAGGACTGCCGATGGGAACCAGTGGAATCTGGACTTACCTTGGAGAAGGTTATTGGAAAAGGCAGCTGTGTGGGAAACCCACCACCCTCTCTGCAGCATTTATGCAATCAGACTTCCCCTATACCCACCCAAATGACTTATCTATTACCATCAGAAAACAGTTGGTGGGCATGTGACACAGGCCTTACCCCCTGTGCTCACACAGCCATGCTCAACCGTACCCACGGATTTTGTGTTACGGTTCAACTTGTACCCAGATTAATTTACCACTCTGAAGAAGAAGTGATATTCAGGTTAGAAAATAAGGAATTACAAAGGAAGGTAGCCATATTAACCATAGGAGCCCTGTTAGGAGCAGTAGGAGTGGGGACTGGAACAACGGCCCTGATTGAACAGCGCTCCTATTTTTCTAGTCTGAGGGAAGCCATAGATGAGGACATCCAAGAACTACAGAGACAGGTAAAACATTTGGAGGAATTACACGCATCCCTTGCAGAAGTTGTGCTTCAAAATCGAAGGGGCTTAGATTTAGTCTTTTTACAACAAGGAGGACTTTGTGCAGCACTAGGAGAAGAATGTTGTTTTTACGTTAACCATTCTGGGGTAACCAGACAATCAATAGCCAAAGTACAGGAAGGATTGGAGAAGCAGAGGAAAGAGAGAGAGCGACAGAAGGGATGGTTTGAATCATGGTTTGATTATTCCCCCTGGCTCACAACTTTACTTTCTGCTTTGGTTGGACCCTTACTTGTAATTATGCTTGCCTTAATAGTAGGACCCTGTATTATAAATAAGTTTGCAGCTTTTGTAAAGGAACAAATCAATACAGTCCAGTTAATGGTGTTAACTGGACGAGCCCAGTACCAGTCCCCGGACAAAAGTAGTAGGGTCGAACCCTATGAGCTTACTCAGAGGAATCCATGATTGGCTCCCAAGGTACCCAAAAAGAAATACGGGAATGAAAGACCTAAGCAACCTCATTTTACTTGGGGCCTCATTTTGCTCTGAGACTTAACCCCTGACCTACTGCAGTCCTAAAGTCAGGAAATACCACAGAAAAGCTCTGCACAAACAGTTCTCAGAAGCCACAGATGGTGATTGCCTAAGATAGGCCAGATGTTGAAATATCTGAAATTCCAGATGGCCCCCACCTAGGTGCAGTGACCAATATCTAAACCAGAAGCCCTGCAGCTTGGCACGTACCCCGCTTGCGACACTGTCATGGTTTAAAACAATCATTTTTAAGTGTCAACCCCTTGAACTAACCAATAATCCTTTCCAGATTCTTTCCCTCCACTTGATACGCTAACCATGTTTTAGAGTTGTTGTTTGATTTTCCCGAGGTGTGTGATGATTTGCTAAGAGATGCTATGATGTATGTGAAGTACCTGCCTTCCCCAAAGAGTGTATAAAACTGCTGCAAACCCTGGGCTTGGGGCCTTTCAGTGTCACCAGTTGCTGTGTGCGCTAAATAATTGAACTATTTATTTAGCTCACAATAAATGCCTCTTTGCTGCTTACATTGATCTTGGTCTCTGGTGGTCTTTTGGGGGCCCCAAACTTGAGCATATCACTAGTTCATGATAGATTGGCTCTGTTGTTTGGGGTATGTGGCAAGATAGCACATTATGGCAGTAGTCTTATAAGACTAATAAGTCTTATAAGATAAGTCTTGTGTTTGACATGTGTTCCTCAGCTCTGAGAGACTCTTACTACCCTTTTTGAAAGAGGAAAGAAGGGCAGTGATGTAACCTGTGTTCTAGGCACCTTTTGTTCAGCCACAAATCCTGACCCAAAGCACACGAACAGATTGAATCCCCTATCTGTCAAATAGCCCAGTGACACAGGAACCTCCAATGGGAGTTCTTTGTTTTACTATTGTTTTAGGTGTTGGGATTCCTGTTGAACCAAACTGGGTTAACATTCAGTTTGATGCAGGCTGAGACCTGGCATGTCAAGGAAGCAGCCCTGAGCCAGTGTCTATTTAAGGATTTGGAAACTGAGCAAGTGCCCAGGACTAGAAACTTCTCAACCCTAGGCTCTGAGCCTCAGGGTAAAAAAGTTTCATGCTTCTTTTAATTTTAAATCTGTGAAAAGTTTATTTCAGTTTTTTAGGAGAATACTGTATCCAAGTAATGTTTCTTTTCTAAACTTGATACTATTGCATGCTAATGTAACAAAGAGATAAAGTTGGAAAGATGGCAACTGCTAAAGTTAAATTGATTCCCAGATTTTAAGGAACTTAAAGTCTTTGGAATTGTCAGGAATTTGGAGACCATAGCTTTGTATTTTATCTATTCATCAAAGGAAGCTAGTAGATAGCCACAATACAGGACACTCTTTAAACAACAAAGCTATATATGGATTATTATTATTATTATTATTGCACCTGGGATTGAACTCAGTAGCACTTGACCACTGAGCCACATCCCCAGCCCTATTCTGTATTTTATTTAGAGACAGAATCTCACTGACTTGTTTAGTGTTTCTTACTTTTGCTGAGGCTGGCTTTGAACTCTCATCCTCCTGCCTCAGCCTCCCAAACCACTGGGATTACAGGTATGTGCCATTGCACCCAGTTGATATTAACATTAACCTTGTTGTTACTTTTTTGCCAGGCTCAGTGGTGCTCAAGATCCTGAGGAACATAAGGTATGGACCAAATGGAAACAATTTGGCTTGAGTTCATAGTGGAATAGAATTCTTGGCCAAGGATGAGAACTCTAACCTGATTGGATATGCTTCTGCTCTGATGGGTTAAAGGATTTACCTGAGGCCAACTTGGTATGCAGGAATTTAGTAAATGCAGTCACACCATTCCTTTTAAAATTCTGCTTTACACAGA